TATTCTCAGCATTCTGCTACAAGTTTTCTTTCATACACACACCACTGCGTGCACTCCTGAACATGCCCTGCCAGAAAAAACTTTCTGAATTCCTATGAGCATAAGCTGAAATAAAGATGTGTTGACTAGAAAAAACACAACCTGAGCGCTTTAAATTTTTTCCATTATCAACACTACCAATATGCAAGCCTTGCCATGATGGAAGAAAATTTCTGTCAACTTAAGTTATTAACATTGTCAGTATCAAAGCCCCTTGGACACTGAAGATAAGAGCACCAGTGATTTTCTTTAGCTCTCACTATTCAGAATGATTCTTCATAATCCACCTAATTTTCAGTTATGATTTCATGAGAGTTGATCACATTACAATGAAACAAAAGCTCAATATTTGTCCCCATGCAGTAACTTTTCCAGACAGAGCCCAGCAATCTATCACCTTCTCACAGGTTCTTGTCCTGCACAGACACACAACCTTTAATCATTTATTCCTGCAAGCCTTCCACCCACCACTTTACCTACCCATGAACTCCCTGATGTCAGTACTACTTCAAGACACATTCTGTTAAACAGTTAAAGGGCACCAAATCCATCTGTCCTAGTCCCTTCCAGCTACTTATCCTTGTAGAGAAGTCCTAATATTCAGACCCCTTTACTTACTTGTTTGGTTTTTTTGGGGTTTTTTTTTGTGACACCTTGCACCTCTGACCAGGCTAAATCTGACACCCATGCTAAACTGAACTGACAACATACAAAAGGACTGCTATGGGCTCAAGTTCGTTAGTTTCAAAGCTCATAAGGATCATAATTCTACATTGCTAGCAGAATTACAAGGTTAAGCATCAAACACAGGCACATGATAACAAGTCTTCAAGAGAATGCTAAGAACACTGCTGGTTTTTGTAGTTACAGGTATACATAAAACAATGCCTTTAATTCATTGTAACAGCAAACAGCCTTTCATAAATAACCTAAACCAGGTTTGCTGGAGTATTCCTGTATCACAGCAGTCATGAGACAATTACCTTTAACTGAAATCCAGTCTCATTCACCATTTCTTTCCATCCACCTTCCTAAAAAATACAAAAGAATGTTAAGTTAATGCGATTTAAAAATGCCACAGCTTTTAAAAGCCCCTATATCAGAAGATATCTCTATATGATATGCCTGTATCAGAAGATCTTCTCCAGTAAGCGGTTTCAGCTACCCTCCACATGTCTCTTCAAGAATCTGAGTTAAGAATAACATGTCATTCTGTTAAGCTCACATACTAACCTCCCCCAAGAAACTCTCTCCTCTCCACTACTCAATTACCTCATTCTATCAACCAGGGACAGGAACCACCCAGCTTTGTCTAAAGAAGTAGCTCAGCTCTTTAGAAAGAAGGGTAGCTATCATCTATTGCCTGTTAGATTATGAGCAGCTTCAGTGACCTTTGCAGCTTGAAGCAGAGAGCATAAAAAGAATGTAGAGGTGACAACTGTTTACACCGCACATGCAGTCACCTTGCTCAAGTGTAGTGGTTGGTTGTCAATTGCTTTCCGTTCACATACTTTGGTTCATCTACGTACTATACTGTGCTGTGGTAAACATATCTGCTCAGTCTGCAGTTTGGAAATCTCTCAAAGCACAGGGGAAAAAAAAAAAAAAAAAAAAAAATAAAAGAAACATCCAACTCCTCCTAAAATTGAAAACTTCAAAATGCAATGCTTTAGCTGACAATCGGATCACAACTTTTGTTATAACATATTGTACCAGTTTTGGACCACAACACATATGAATGGATCACAGTTCAAACAGCAAAGCTGAAACAACCATGGATATCCAAAAAGAGAACTGGAAGCCAGTACTGTCTCTGCAGCCAGCAGCATAGAATGCTAACTATTTCAGCTTTAGTCCTAGGAAGCTTTGTCAGCCAACATGCATTAAGTTCCCAATATGCTATTCCAAAGAGGTGGAAATTCTGTCTTAGGAGCCTTAAAACTAGACTGGAAAAAAGTCATAAGGTGCATAAGAAGACTGTACAACTGCAGTGGGCTGTTAAGAATCTTTTTAGATAGACAAACCTTTTTTACCTCAACTTTGTTCACACTGTCTATCCCTGTAGACAAAGAACAAGCTATAGGTCAAAAGGAAGAGAGAAGAGCAAATGGACATTATCTTAAATAAATAATCACTAAGGAGTGCAATTAGAAAGCACATCACTTTACTATACCTGTGTTAAAAATGAATAACAGATTTTGTCCTGGCAAAGAACAGGATGTGAAGCCACACGTAACAAGAAATTTTCCAAACCGATTCTTCTTCTTTCCACAAAATCTGGATCCATATTATCTGCTGATAGCTTATGCCAAACAAAGTCAGCCTATTTAAACAGAAGAGTGTTAACATTAACAGTAAGTAAATACAAACACCACAAAACAAGTTGCAGCCACAGCTTCTTTACCCTTTTTTCTGGCAAAGGTGGAACAACAATATGTGGATAGGTGACTGACAAATAATTCCTCAACAACTCAAATTCACTGTAACGTCGCCACAGGGAGTCCACTGGGGCGCACTGTCCCTCACTCTGGGACTCAACAGCTCTGAAAGATAAAATGGCAAATTTGAGCATTAGTAAGCTGTCGCATTTTCCTTCTTACCATCAGTACAATTATAGCAAAGGCCCTAAAAATAGTTACCCAGCAAGGATTACTGCGCAGCTTGCCCATAATCTAAGTAACCTTAATGAATTTCATGTCTACAAACTTCATTTAAAAATATTTATAACTTCTGCCTGATAGCACTCAAATTTTTTAGAAACACATTTTCATCACAGCCAAACAGGTATGTCACAGTCAAGTAAAGTCACACAAGTGACTGAGTTCACATCCCTATAGAATTAAACATATTTCTCTTGAAACAGTGCTAGGCTCCAAGCCAGCACAATTTCATGAGCAGTTGAAGGATACAGAACATTAGAAGAAGGAATTTACTATTTAGTGAGAAAGTCTTCACTTCAGAGGAGAAAAATTGTCTTGCCTGCAGTAGCCAGAATAGTTAAAAATACAACTTAAAAAAACATCAAGAAATTTTAAAGGATATTTTTAGAAAAACGTAGCAAATTTCAAAGCACTTCCAATTTTTTTTTTTCCAAAGTGATACCTTTTTATATTTAGTCCTTAAGTAGTAGTCTAACAAACTACCTAAAGAGAGAGTAAGCAGGTAAAAAATTGATGTAGCTGAAAAGTGGGTTGAAAACTTAGGGCCAACATCACCTAGCAAGGTATTAAAAGATCTTATGCTACTATAAAAGGAGAAATCATGGAATATTATAGGATTGAAAAGTAATATAAAAGCTTGGGAAAAAAATCATTATTCATATAAGACATCTAAAGCAACATAAATACTTTGCATTATCATAAAATAAGCACCAGGTCAGTAACAATTCTTGGTAGTTAGCATATGTCAGAATAAACACTGAGATATAATTCAGACAACGATTTAACAGAAACCAGTGATGTCTATGTCTAACTTAGTTCTTATAGCAGCAACTTATATAGCTTATATTAGCAACTAACTAGCGTACAAAGCACTGGCATAAACCTACATGAAACAGAATCAGCTAAGTTATGAGATTAACACAGGTTGGTTGAGGTTAGAAGGGACTTCTGCATATCTGTAGTCCAACTTCCTTATTCAAAGCCACATCCAGTTGGGGTTTGAGTTTCTCCAAGGATAGGCTCTACCACCATACTGAACAACCTATTCCCATGTTTGGCCACCCTCTCAGTAAAGAGGTTTTCTTACATTTAAATGGAATTTCCTACATTTAAATTTATAGATGCTGCCTCTTGTCTCTGTGCATCACAGAAAAGTGCCTGATTCCATCTCTACGTACACCACCAGGTACTGATACACATTGCTAAGATCCCCTAAGCCTTCTCTTCCAGAGGCTGGACAACCCCATCTCTCTAAGCCTCTCTCTGCATGTCAGATGCTCCAAGCCTGTAATCATCTTCATGGCCCTTTGCTGGATTTGCTTCAGTATGCCCACATCTTGTACTGGGGAGCCCAGAACTGGGCACAGTAAGTTATGAATCACACATACTTAGCCTGGTGGTACTCAGCAGAATAGGGTACTACATTATTTCTTCCAGCAGAATTCAGGCTATACAGTTCCTGAATTCATAAGAACTTTCTGGACTAAAGTTTTAAAATAATCTAAATAGCACACAAATGACTGATTTATTTTTTTTAAGCTATTCTTAACCTACAAGTTTAGATTTCTAATGACCTTACTGAAAAACAAACAATCCCACTCCCACTCCAGCGCGGTCCCAATTATTTGATACGCTTAAAGTACAAGAAGCCTTTGTCATCCATTCCTGAACTCTCATTAGAGTGGAACAGCCCTGCTTTATCCTTTTTTAAGTATAGTTATCTCTTAAGGCTGAAGTAGTGTGATACAGAATTATGCAAAAGGAATTTTTTTAAATGAGTGAGGCAGAACATTTTCTGTATATCCATCCTTGCCTTGCAAAAAGGACATTTATTCCAGGTGACTGAATGTGTATAAAAAAGAAATCACAGGGAAAAAGAAAAAGGATGTATTCATAAGCACTCAACACAAACTGATGCAGATGAAAACTGCCTGACACTGACTTAAGAATAAAAAAAGAAAAAAAAAGGTAAGCATACTGCTGACAGCCATTAATTCACACTGCCACCATCCCACAGAATTCTTCCCTATTAGAGTATCTCAATTCAACAAAGTTGCAACTGCAACCAGAGAGTTCTGAAGCAGGTAAGCTCAGCTTAGTGCTGGGCTGACAGGCTGTGCAGCATTCCTCCCTACATGAACACTGCACAATTTAAACATTTCAAGAACACTTTGGCTAAAAGCAGCTATCTAGTGACTACACTATTGCTAAGTTGGAGATAAACTTAATACATAAAGAATTAAGCTGCTCTGCCCTAGAAGATCAGTTTAGTTGAAAGCTGAAGGGTTTGGTAAACAATCTGCCCCTCTAAGACACTCACATAAAAATATTTCAGAATTAGGGAACCTTTTAATCTTCAGCTTCAGCAGCTGTCAACCAGTTGCACCAACTTACACCATGGGTTTCAAGAGCACTACTTCTGCATGGGTTATCATCAACCCTTAAGCAATGTAGCCACCATCAATACATCACATGATTATGTGGACCCTGACCGAGAAAATACTGCACAAGCAAACATGAATAGGGAGACAAGAAAAAATACAGTCCAGGACTGCCCGGAGACCCACCCATACTGCAGGTAGACATGGTGCTGCATCAGCAG